GAATTGAGTGATAACATTTTAATTGGAGAAATAAATATATAGATTAGATTGAAAGCGAAAAATGTGAAGTCTACAAGAAAGTATAGATAGACTTTCAGTGTGCAGTATTTATTCAAAATAATTATAATAGTGTTACCAGCAAAATTCAGCTGAGAAACTCCAAACTTGCTATGATAAGACCTCACGAACAGCTTCAAGTTATTATAAAGCCATTAAGACCAAAACGTTCATAAAGTTTGAGCTGCAGCCAATTCATAGGAACATATTCGCCTCTAGAACATCAAACAAAACATTTTGACTGCATCTTTCGGCTACAAAATCCTTGCTTCTACTTATCCAGGCCGAACATACTTACATATTTAAGCTTACATCTGCAAAAGATTTTCAGAGATTGCCTAGCCTATTAGAAGCAGTTGATGTGTCGAATTTCTCATTTTTTGTCCGCCTTTTACCTAACCTCAATGACAACTTTTTAAATACAAAAAAATAGAAATATACATTCCTCTGTCATATCGCCAACATTTAAAAATATTTGTATAACTAAGTTTTATTGAAGCTCTAAAAAGTTAGAACTACAATGGCTTTAAAATTAAGTTATCTACCCATTGAGCCAAGTGGTACACAATAAAAAAAATTTATTTCCCCTAGTCATGCTACTTTAAAAATTAGAAGAAAGACAAGATACCATATCTAAGTTTATTTTAAGCGCAATTAATAACTTCAAGAAGACCATGTAGAAAATCAAAAGCAACATATTTCTCACTTTTATGAGTTTACTTAAGAGGGGAAACAACTTAAACTTAAGCCACCGGCGTTTGACAGAAAATTGATGTCAAGTTTTTATGTTGTTAAGAAAACTCCCAAGAAAGCACACACGTGAATGTGTAAAGAAAAAACAAAGCGAGAAAATACCCAAAGAAATTTAAAAATAATGACGGAAGCAGCACACAGAGTGTTCATGTAAAATGCCAAGTAATCTATTTTTAAAATCATTCATAAAAGCGCTATACATATGTACATATGTATGTATATTTGTATGTTCATTAGTAAAGTTGCACTTTTGTTTCAAGATGGCATAAAGTAGAGAAACAGCGCGGCAGATCAGCAAAAGTATTGCAAAAGGAGATGTTGGCATAGTTTGAATGGTAAATAACAATAAAAAATAAAAAAACTTTTTTATTAACCAAAAAAAAAAAGTAAAATACGAAGAAACACTGTAAAGAAAACGAATATGAGGAAATTATTAAAAAGTATTTACAAATACGAAAATATTTGAAAAGTTAAGTGTGTCTTGTAAACTACACAATGAAGACTGCAAGCAGTCAAAGTCAGTCAGCCAAATAGACGACCGTCAGTCAGTGACGAGTGAACCTACTCCAGTCAGTTGGTAATGGACGTTGGAGTTAATTACCATTTTCGTAATTGGCAATCGCTTGTTAGTGGATGCATATGAAAGAGTTCCATATAGATATGTACAAGTATATACATATGAGCATGCATCATATTGTGGGTAAAAGTTTATTAGCGTGTTGTCTAATTGTGTGTATGTAGATTTATGGTTGACTGCTTGACGCTTATATTTTGCCAAACCAACATTCATGCAAACACTGATATTTGTATATATCTATATCTACAAATGTTGGTAAATCTACGAGGCCTTTGTTGTAGCGAGACATAAAATAAAGAAATGTGGCGCTGCTGTGCGCCAACATGAAAGGCGGTTGCTTGGCCAGACCGCATTTGGCGCAATACACATTTTTCAGCGTAATAAATCGCATGGAAGTGTGGAATACTTTCGAATGCAATACGAGTGAATGGGAGCAATGCTAAATCTAAAATATGTATGTGCTTAGAAGAGAAAAAGAAAGTGATTAGTTGTATATTAAAATATGATTCGGCAATAGCAAGTTAAGCAATTGCTATTCGAACAAAGAAAATACAACTGATGTTAACTTAAAAACAAGAAAAAACGTTAACTACGGTTGCACCGAAGTTATAATACCCTTTACAAATACAAGAGATTCGATATAAGAACTTAATTTTGCTGGGTCAGTTTGTATATCAAGTGTATGCTTTGTTATAGTGGTCCATTTTGAACAATTTCTTCGGAGATTGCATTGTTGCTTTCGAGAATGCTCCATGCCAAATTTTGTGAAGCTACCTTGTAAACTAAAATCAAACATGTTAAAATGATTGAATGTTTTATAATAGACTTTCAGTAATATTTTTTCGTTCTACTACGAAAAGGTAAGATTTTCGAGCATAAGTGGGAGAAGTGGAAAAAGTGGATATAAAGCTATTTATGTCAAAGAGACTCTCTTTATTCGAAGAAGTAGAGAAATGTTAATATACAGCACAATATATGCCATTGAATTAATCAGACGTTTTTTTAATGGAAGTTTGTGGAGAGTCCCATTCCGCCGTTATCCACACTTTCAATTTCATCTTGTTTCTCATTTCATTTAGTATGCAATGCGAACACTCCTCAGAGAATCGTTGGCAAATATCGTAAATTTATTGTCTAATTTTCACCTGCATGTAAAAGTAACCCTAATAAATACTTTTCAGTCTTTTGTTCCAATACATGCATACACTTGTATGTGCATATTTGTACGTATGTGCCAAAAACAAAAAAAAAAACAAAAAAAAACACAAAGGTTCTCCAACGCAAGTAGCATGAGCATGCACTCATATGTTTTTGTGCTTGAAGTCAACCCATCTGGAGTGCCGTTACAGATATTGCAAGAAAAATGACTGCTAGGTTTAAATAAATTATTCAACTTCGACTTGTTCTTCATTCGCACGAAATGTTTGCTTGGCGCAATATACTGTCGATAGCTACTATGTAATTGGTAAATATGTATGTATGCATATCCACCAGCACAATCACACATACATATGTGTATATAATTACATCTTTCTACTCCTACAGTGGCGCACTTTTGCAGCTTGTGCTGTCCATTTGCTGTTGCCATTGACGCTACCAACACGCCATTCCATGCCACCCGGCTGTATGTATGTATATGTAAGAAAATTCCGCGTGCAGTCACCATCGTCGCTCCTGAATGTATGGGCATGACTCACTCGCCATAAACAGTGTTCATGTTGCGGGTAACTTGGCGCAATGGGTACAATAAGTGGTATGAGGTTGAAATAGTAGCGTTGGCGCTAATGCCGACAATATAGCGTCGTAGCCGACGAAGACCATAGCATCGGTATCGCTGACTGTAAGCAGCGTATGAATCGTTTAGATTCACGCAACTCAGTCTACCGTCTTACATCTGTCCCCAAATTTTGCTGTCCACATCTCTTTCGGCTTTTGTCTTACTAGCGTGGTGCTCTCATTCGCTTTTAGAGTATTAGTTAATCGCCTTTTATTTATTTCTTTAATATTTTCGTATTGTTTTTGTTTTCTTTCACAGAGCAGCTGTTCGGTCGACGTCAAAATGTCGACTATTATAGTGCTTGCGGATTGGTAAAATAAATGTTTATGACTGAAAGTTGTTGTTTCTATGAAAGACTATTGCTGTAAACTTGTTTTGATTTCTATTTGCACAATTTTTTATTTTTTTTCTTTCAATACTCATATATTTAAAATTTAACTTGCAATTATGGTAAAATATTTTATATTTTGGGTATATTAAGGCAGAATGCGGGAAACAAAAGCCGGTTTGAATTTTATATAAAAAAAATACCATGAAAACATTTTTTTATATTTCTTATTACGCTATTATACAACAAAATTCAATAAGATGATTTAGATCTTTTTCGCCTTGTGTAGTATATTAACAAAGTAATAAAAAAAAATTTAGTCGGCTGGATATTTTCTGCACCTTTTTTGTTATTCAAAATAAACTGAGAATGTGTACACAAAAATTACAATCTTACAAACTCTAATAAATTTAACTAATACTAAAAAATCATATAGAATTTCAGTTATTTGTAATTTGTATCCGCACACAAATATACTACTTTTTTTATCAAAATCAATTTGTTATAATTATTTTCAAAATGACTATCGAATGAAATCAAATACCATCATCATTGTTATGAAATTTCAAAAAGTGGGGTGGCAACACCCAAGAATAAACCTCCTGCCTATGTTATGTATTTGTTTTAGGGTAGAATAGGGTAAAAATGACGTCATCGACCAGGGAGTGTGGCGGAGTGGTGGCTATATTTGACTATTTTGTGCAAACACAAAACTTAACTAAAACTTAACCATATTGCATATGGTTAATAATTTGTTACATTTACATACCGCAATAGAAATGCAATTCTCTTCAGTGTTGTTTGGGAATTTGACGATGAATTTAGAGCCGGCCTTCTCTTCACTGTCATTCAGTGGACGAAAACGACATACCACTTTGATACTGTCCTCTGCTGGAATCTCCCGTATCTCCCGTTCAGCAGACATTTTGACGCCTAAAGCGGTGTTGACCAAACAGTTATCCTATATATATATTAAGTTAATCCAACACAAATATTTCAAAATGGTGCCTTCGTAACTGCACTTCCAATTAGCACCGCTCCACTGCCTTTCTTTCTTCTAATTTTATACCACTTTTAAGTGAAAATTATTACTGCATTTAACAATTATTGACTTTTGCTATCTCCTGCCTCCTACTTTTAAATTTTTCTTCTTTTAATGATGTATTTTTTTTTACTTCACTTTTTCCTTTTGCAACTGCGACGTTTTCTGCTTGCTTAGCAGAGACGCAGACACATGCAATTTCACACGTCAATCACACAGCGGAATGGACGCGTTAGATTTTCTTAATAAAAAAAAATGCATTAAAAATAGCAGAGGACTCCCTTTATTCAAGGTTTTATGGAAATATTTTCAAATTATTTAATTGTTAAAAAATATAAAAATTTTCACTTTGCTCGTCAAACCGAACCGAACCGAACAGTACAATACGAGACGACAAATACACACCTCGCATCATGGTATAGGCAACAGAGGCAGATGAACGCGATTGACAGCAAACAAGTGTTAACAGATTAGTTAATTCATAATGTATTTCAACATTTACCAGCAATGTCAGTACTATTAATATGTTTTTGTACGCAAATTATATTATGCAGCAGTAAGTTTTTCTATGACCGTAAACTTATTAGGAAGATAGAATAATTGATGTAATTATCATATTTTTACATATGTTCCAGTTAATGTGGCAAGGCTTTGGTTTTTGCATTTCCCCATTCACCGCTTTTGACAACTTCTAAATAAATTGCAGCAGTCATCTCTTTCCTATAACGGTCACATATAAAATCAGCTGGTTTTATTAAAGTTGCCGGACGAAATATGTGTTAAGAATATTATTAAAATATATAATTTTCATTACGAAATATATGTATACACAATGATGTATTGGAATTTGCACCATATGGATATTATAATAAATTTTATTCAGGTATTTAAATAATATTAGAATATCGTTTCTAATATATAGATGTTTAACAAATATATTTGGCCATCAATACAGTTTTAAAAGTGCTTACACCAAATCACCCTGTTACTGTAATTGTGTCAAAAATGACATATTCTAAAAATTCCCTCGTTTAGATTACTCCGTTTTGTTGTCAAATTAAGCAAACCGTATTACTTTATAATAAATTTTCTGTAATATTACAAATTGTAACTTAAAAAAGTTTGTAGTTAATATCTCCATGAGTTTCCAAACACCAACAACAACCACAGCCGCGAGCACTGGTTTCTCGTTTGGACTGGGAACTGCAGCTGGAGCGGCGAAGCCGGCATCTTTTTCGTTTGGGGCCACTGGTGGCGGAGACGCGGGTGCCGTAAAACCTCTGTCATTTGGCGCACCAGCTCCCACCGCAACCTCTATGGCTGCCCCCGCTGCGGTAGGATTTGGAGGCGGTTTTCTAGGAGCTGCTACTACGACTACTGGAACACCCGGCGCTTTATCTGTAGCTACAACTGCAACCACAGGCTTCTCTTTTGGTGCACCAACAGTTAGCTCAGCAGCCGTTGCACCCTCGACTGCTGCACCTGCAACAACTGCGCCGGCGGGTTTTGGATTCGGTGCTGCCCAACCCGCCGCCGCAACCACTGCTTCAACAAGTTTCGGCTTTGGCGGTACAGCATCGGCAGGTACAACTACAGCAATCGGAACTACTACCACATCTGTAGCTGCAGCGCCAGCTTTCTCATTGACATCAGCTAAACCTACCACGACTGCATTGCCAACTCTTGGCACATTAAGCACCTCAACAGCTCCGGCCACAGGTGGTTTTGCAAATTTGAGTACTGCAACGAAAACAACAGAATCAACAGCTGTAACAAATGCTTCACACCTAACATATAACCAATTGGAAGAGCACATTAATAAATGGACATTAGAGTTAGAGGAACAAGAAAAAGTGTTTGCGGACCAGGCGACACAAATTAATGCGTGGGATAAAATTCTTATTAGTAATAATCATAAAATACTTGAGTTAAATGATGCTGTACAAAAGGTGAAATCAGATCAGCAAACATTGGAACAGGAATTGGAATTTATAGCAACGCAACACAAAGAACTTGAGGAAAGTATTGTACCACTACAGAAGGAATTTCTTAAATTGCCGCAGGTTGATGTGGAGCGAAGTCAAACTTACCTCTTGGTTGAGAATTTAGACACCCAATTAAAACAAATGTCGGAGGATTTGAAAGAAATCATCGATAACCTCAATGACGCGAATAAAGGTCAAGATAGTACAGATCCAATTATACAAATTGGTAAAATATTAAATGCCCACATGAGCTCGCTACAATGGATAGAGTCATCTACAACAAATATTTCTACCAAGCTCGATGATATAACGAAGATGCACGAATCGTTTAAGCGCGAATCAGAACGTTCCTTCCGATCAGCTTACTACAATTGATTGATGTTTTTAAAGTATATTTCTCAATAAACATACATTTTTGTTAAAATGCAGTTTTCTATAAAATACGTTATTTTACTTAATTTCTGTTAAAAATTACAAATAAATCAAACAATGATCTTAATAGTATTTGTAATGTTTTAGCCGCATCAAAGTCACTCGTTTGTTCGTGCAGCCCATCGCCAAATATGCACTGTTGGGTGAAAATTCCACAACACGAATTTTGCCAATGTCATTTTTTCTCGGGAAATTGGCGAAGACTGTAGCGCTTGGGAAGTGTGCCAACTTAACCGCAGACCGTACTTTAACGGAGCACATAGCCAATATTTCAGCAGTGTGATTGAACTTTACATTCGAAATGATTGTTCGTAAATTTAGGAAAGTCTTCTCTGGCTTTGGCGCAGTAGACAACTGCAGCTTTTGAAAGTCATAAACGTTAACTACGCCCTCCATGCTACCAGTCGCTATGAGGCGTTGGTCCAACGATAAATCCATTGCACTTCCATTCAAACAGCCGTCATCAATAAGGCTATGAGCCAAACGTTGCTTTGTCAAAGAGAATATATTGATCTTGGGAGACAGGGAACTGCATACGATGTTTTTAGAATCGGCGGTAAAGCACATGGCAGCTACATCGTCGTTCTGTTTAAATGTGTGTATAAGTTCTTGCGAAGTTGCATCGAATACGTGCATGTTGCCGAAACGACCAGCGACGGCCATGTAACGTCCACATGGAGATATTCTAAAGTTGCGCAGAGTCGTAACATTCTCAGGCAGCTTATAGCGCATTTCCTGCGCTGTCAAAAGATCGTACTCGTAGTAGTCTCGCCTTGCAGACCCAAAGATAGCCTGTAAGCAAAATGGGAAACAATAATAAAACATAACTTAAAAAAAGAAATAGTTACCTTAGTGCCGCACGGCTTCAAGTGTGCACACAATATTGGGAAATTTTCGAAATGCATGCTGTGTAACTTTTCATTTTTCACGCCGTCAATGCTGTATATCGTTGCTATGCCTGATGTTCCTGATACCAATGTCGCTGTGCTTTTTGGTATAAATTGTATGCTGGCAATGGAACCTTCTGCATATGAAGCTCGATTTAAATCTTTCAACCGTTTGATTTCTATATGCGTTTGTCTTAAATTATTCGTATCTGGTTTAGCTACAAAACCAACAGTCTGCAGAAGTGCCTCATCCTCTGCGTCCTCAGACACCTTTTTCGTATCTAGCTCTGCCCATTTTGGTTGCGGCACTGTCCGCACATATCGTGCCGTTAGGTATTCTTTGTAAGATTTATCTTTACGCAAATGATCGTGAGGGCCTGAAAAACGTGTAGGACGTTTCACCTCACCCAATGTAATATCTGTGTCATCCGCGTCGGTCCATGCGGGTTTACGTTTTCTACTATCTTTCAAATCATCTTCTGCACTACCGCTTGCGACTTCCTTTTCATCATTGATTTTTTTAGATTCACCAACGGCTACAGCTAAATTCTCCAGCAATCCTTTTCGATCGCCAAATATAACTTTTTCCATGGGCAATTCCTCAGTGTCATCGCTGATGGTGGTATGTTTTTTGTTGCTCGGTGCTGCTGTAGTATTTTTATTTTTGTTACTTTTACTTTCCGTCTTTAGTTTCTCTCGCATCAAATTTTCGTATTCTTCAGCGCATTCCAGTAGATCCTGAATGCTTTCATTTTCACTATCACTCATCTTATTTGTTGAAATGACCAATTTATTAAAAATTAATCGAGCGAATAAACTGGTTGAATTAATTAAAAACTTACACCCCGATTGATTTTTCTGACAGCCAGGGATAACCCTTTACGATAGTGACAACTGACACACGTGTGTAGAACTTATGAATACAGTGATGTCGAGATAATTACGACGGTGAAAATATTTAATGATTTTTACTCCAACCACAATTTTTAGTTTCAACTTATTTTTTCTTAAGATTTAATATTATCTCAATTGATTAGAGCCAATTCGCGATCTGATTTTAGGGTAGTCAGTTAAAAGTATTGTTTTATCGTAGAAATAAACAGATTTCTTTCCCCAAGATGCTGCTCATCTGTCGAATCCGCCGACAACGGTCCCCTATTGGATGTAGCTGCCATACAAGCTAATCGATAATTTGTATTTGTGAGGGGTATTATAGCTACGCTGCAACTGAGGTAAACGTTTTTTCTTGTTTAATATAAAGTTTTGTCAACACCTAAAAGTATTTCGCCGCCTTTGATCCTTACGAGAGTATAAAATGATGGGTTACATTCGCCTTTAGCTTTTCCATACATATTATACTCTAAACAGGGTACATTAAGTTTTTCCACGCTGTTACAAACACCCAAAACCAAACGTCGGAGGCTCTATAAAGTCTATATATAAATGATCAGTGTGACGAGCCGAGTATGTCTGAAATTTTACATACGTACGTCTTTTTCTCACCAAGATACCTCCGCAGATATTGGATGACTACAGCATATAGCTGCCATACAAACTTTACGCTCAAACTCAAGTCTTTGTATGGAAAACTTTTTGATTAGACGAGGTATTTTCACGAAAATTGGCGTTGATTATTATCCAAGGCATCGCTATATCAAAGAAGATCGGACCACTATAGCTTATAGCTGCCATTCAAACTGACCGATCAAAATTATAATAAACATCTTTTTATACCGTGTTATGGCATAAAAACTGCACCTGTGAAGAGTATTATAGTTTCGGTACTGCGAAGGTTAACGTTTTTTCCAAAACTAACTTATAATTGCTAATCAGATATTTAGAAAAATGTTTCCGACAAAATTCTGGTTAAGCGCTTAACCATATATTGAGAAAACGGCCCATATATTTAACTTTCAATTATATGCATTTTTACTTACCAATAATGAAGAATAAATTTTAACATACATCTTTTATAACTATTTTATTTATTGTCTACAAAATCTCTTACAAATACTATATTTGTTTTGTCCTTTACGAATTCTATTTAAGAGTATATTGAAGGTTCTGTACATTTTTGGATTGATTGCATAAATATGAATAACAATGAATATAAGAACAAAAAAACCCAAACAATTGTAATGATTTCTAGTAAAAATAGACAAAAACAAGAAAATAATGTAAAGTTATAAATTATGTTGCTGATATGAAGTAGGAATAATATTTACAATATGATAACTGAATTGAGTTTAAATATTAAATTGATGAAGTTGATAAACATAATCGACACGAGAAATGTATGAATTTATTAAATGAAGAAACACAATTTTACAATAATTTCGAATAGATAAACTTATGTTGGACAGTTAGTTAATGCAATTAGTTAAAGAAGTTGCTTTGTTTTACTTAAATATTTAACTGCACTAAATTTGTTTTTAAATATGCGGAAATTTAACTAAAATTTAGAGGTGCATGAAAATGATAGGAAAAATATTGTCACATAACCGGCCAATTTTTGTTGTTATAAATTTTCGAATATTGCTAACGCTACGGTAGACATTCCCGTCAAGCGCTCTACGTCACAATAGGAATTTCATGCATAGAATTTTCTGCAAAGTTCGATGCGTTGATGAATTTGGCAATTGTTGTGTTAACAATCAAATACTTTCCAATATTAAATAATATACCTTTATGTATATATTTATAGATATTTTAAAAATAATATTTCTATGCATGTACGAAAATAATGTACATATGTATGTATTTAATGCAATGTGTTTATGTATGATAAAATAAGTTAATATCTGTAAAACAAATAACAAATAAGGATGTAAACGTATATATAATTGGCTATCAACGAAAACTAAAACAAAAAAAAAATATAATCATAATTTCAAAACCAAAATTAAATCAACCCGAAAATGGAGTACAATTACATTTTAGATGCAAGTGTATGTTATGTATGTATGTATGCAAATAGTTTGTATGTTTGCAGGAGCGCATGTAATTTTTTCGGCACAAATGCGAATTTCCGCTTTATTTCCAGTACTGCAGAAGTTTTCAATTGAAAAATAACTGTTCACTTGAAAACAGTTTCGTTTCGTAAATAATTGCGCTGCTTTTAAAACTACATTTATTGAATTGAAACTGCTTTGCCGTTAATTTTTTTTAGGTGTATGAAAACATTTGTTGTTGTTTTCAAGTACAATTTACGCCTCCACGTAGGTGTACGAAGATCGCTCAATCCCTATGAAGTCGATGCCGTACTACCCATGGGTTGTGGTGCACGTGGACGAATCATCATGGTAGCCTTCTTGAGTGTGTAGTCCCAGCCGCGCCAACGGAACCAAACGATGCCTTGACGGGCAGTTAAATCTTGTGGATCATGCAAGTAAAGGCCATTTAAACCACGACCGCATGACTTCCACCACCAGCCGCCCTATAAGCAAAAATAATAAAAAAATTTCAAAAACTGCAAAGAAATGGTGTAAAAATGGATTAAAAGTGTTTTTACCTTCAGCATACTAGCGCAATTCAGTGAGCTCCGATCGTTATCTCTATTATAAGTCGAGAATGGACTATTATTTGAACCATACCATGGATCATTCAGCGAATCGCCAGCATTGCCTTCATAACCATCGATCTCTAATTTGTAGTAATCAGCTTCTGAATGGATTTTAAAGTGCGAATATTGCGCATATCTAATTAAACAAAAATCCAATTTAGTATAATATTAACTTCTTCTAAATAAATACCCGTTAAATATACCTCTTATTGCCCTCAAAGTCCTCTAGTTCTACACGCAGCGCGTAGTCCTCATTATTGGTGAGCATATAAATGTTTTCATTACCTAACCAAAACTCTTTTGCTGGGTCACCAAAGCCGTTCTTATAGTCAGCCCAGTCGCGATTGAAATTTTCGCGCGGCTCACCGAAATCATCGCGTCTTTGTATAACCTTAAAATGAAAAAAAAAGTTAGTAAAATACGAAAATATCAGAAAATATTTAAAAATTTACCGTCCAACCGCCATCAGCGACTTCCTGCTCACAGAACACCTTTAAAAACCAATAGGTTGTACCACGAATTTGTAAATAGAACACACCAGATTGCCGCATACCAGCGTTTAGGAGGTCAACACAAGAGAAACCCTGAAAAATATAATATTTATAAAATGTTTTGATTGAATAAATATAAAATTTAGCAATAATACTGTATTGCTTTTATAAGAAATATTTCTTGCGGGGTATATAGTGCGATGCAAATAAAAAACCCCATGAAATTGCTTGGTACACATTACGTACTATCTGGCAACATCGCCATCAGGTGGTGTTTTTGCTTATCAGTTGAAGTTTGCTGTTTGTTTGGAAAATTTTTGGCGTCTTAGGAGCATATATATTTTATAGTTAGCGGAAAAAGTTGTGCAATGTTGTGGTTTAATCTTTTATTACCAATTTTGCTATCAATATCTGATTTTGCTTACTCTATCGATGAGAGTCGGTTGGTCGATGCTGAAAAAACACTGGTGTGGGGGCCTGGCTTGAAGCCGGATGAAGTTGTTTTACCAGCGCGTTATTTTTTCATACATGCTGTGGACAAAAATGGGCGCAAGTGTGTTGAATATTTGCATAAATAGTGAAAGCTTTGCAATGCGTTGACAAATAACAAATTTCTCCGCTTTTTCATTACAGATTTGAGCAATCACCCCCACAGGAATTTCAAGTGCTTATCAAAGGCAATTCGCCGCATGGTAAATGTCGGTCAAATGTAAATTTCATTGATCGCGGTGATGGCTCCTCGATTATACGCTATAATATAGCCGACTGGTGTGATCAAGTTGAATTGCAAGTGCGCTATAATGGCTCACATGTAGCACATTCTCCGTATGTTATATATAATAAGGTATACTCAGAACGTTGCTACTGCCCACAAGATTCAAAATTGTGGATGTTGCACAACAATTGTCCATCAGGTTTAGATGACAAACAGATCGCTTGGGACTTGCATTCATTTAAGCGTGTTAACTTTAGCGCTATACGCGAGAATCTTTTGCGGCGCTACAATCAACCGGAGAGCGTATCGTTATGCCATTATGTAGTGAAACAGCAACAAATATGGCGACAATGTTATGGCAAGTATACTGGTTTCAAAATGTTCATGGATGCAACCTTGTTGGCATTAGGACGTGTTGCTCTACTGCCAGATATGGAATTCTATTTGAATTTGGGCGATTGGCCGCTCTCGAAAAAAGGTGGACAACAGCGTACTTCTGGTCCATATCCAATATTCTCGTGGTGTGGTAGTGAAGACTCTTACGACATAGTACTACCTACATACGACATAACCGAATCTACAGTGGAGAATATGGGACGTGTAACTTTGGATATGTTGTCTGTGCAAAAAAGCGAATATTCATGGGACATAAAAGAATCTAAAGCTTTCTGGCGCGGCAGAGACTCACGGCGCGAGCGACTTGAATTAATCGAATTGGCACGTAAACATCCAAATTGGTTAAATGCATCACTAACGAATTTCTTTTTCTTCCGTAACGAGGAAGATAAGTACGGTCCCAAAGTGCCGCATATATCGTTTTTGGAATTTTTTCGGGTGAGTGAAAAGTATAAAATATGCGAAACTTAATTTAACGGCAGCGTTTGCATTTTACAGTACAAATACCAGCTAAATGTGGATGGTGTCGTCGCTGCTTATCGCTTTCCGTATTTGCTTGCCAGTGACTCGTTGGTATTCAAACAAGATTCGGGTTTCTATGAACACTTTTACAGCAAATTAACGCCGTACAAACATTATGTGCCATTTAAACGCGATTTAAGTGATTTAATTGAACGTCTACAGTGGGCAAAAGAAAATGACGATCGCGCCCGTGAAATTGTGTCAGAAGCACGGAAATTCGTAGAAGCTAATCTAATGCCACAGCATATTTATTGCTATCATATGGCTTTATTTAAGGTAATTGCGTTGTATATTCTGTTAATTTTTCTGAATTTTTTTATGTAACAAAATCTTTTAATTTTTATAATTTAAAATTTTTTTATTTTTTATTTAAAAAATTTTTTTTTTATATATTTTTTATTTATATTTTTTGCCTACTTCTCTCATACTTCTCTCGATATATTTCTGCTTTTGTTATGCCTGCTTAAGTTTTTAAATAAATATCGTCATCTGTATATTTTACCTACGGTTTTTCACCTATGAATTTTATATGAAATTCTTTTGATTTTAATTTTACCTTTTTGCTCTCATACTTATTCCGATTTGTTTATGATTTGGTCATAATTTGGTCATATTTTCTTTTTATATAAAATATACATAAATAATTCATCTGCGTATTTTACCTAATCCTCTTCGCCTATAGATTTAATATGAATTCTCCACATTCCATCTTAGTCTAAGGTTTTCTTCTATGTTCTCAAAATAACTGTTCTTACTTAACGCTTTTAGGAATGGAGCACCCGTCTAGTCTCACCCATTACCGTGTTGCCTGGCATGGAGAAGGTCGAACAGGTTTACACTTGTTCTTGCAAAGAACCGCCTTACCCAAGAGATGAACTGTAGATGCAATCTACAGCAAGCGTCTGCTATCTTCGTACTTATTAATATTTATATACTATATAATTCTTTTATTTTGCTCGCCATTCCATTCATGTTTTCACTCATTTATTTCCAAGTTTTGGCCTGCTGAAATCACATTCCATCCTCAGTTTTAGTTTTAAATAACTAATTTAAGGCTGCTTCTGTTCCTTTTTCACAGTCTGGCGGTAGAGTATTTTACTTTAAGTTTCTTTCTTGGACTACATATTGATATTTATATACACATATACTTGTATAGAGAATTTGTCTCTATCGCATATTGTCTATTGATATTCTACGTTTTTGTCATACCAATAAGTTATATTACCTTAAACTTGGATAGATAAGCATTGCCATGTTTTTACAACTTTTATACTTTTTTAAGCGAATTTTTTACGAAAGTCTGAAAATTATATCATTCCAAATTGTACTTAAATTGCGCATGGTGAATTTTTGTTTAGAAAAAATATATACGCAAATGAAATGTATTAGCAAAATTTTATAAAGTCTCGAGTATACTCAAAACAAAGCGAACAAATGAGCGAAAATTACAAAAACAACATAAAAAATAAATGTATATGTGTCTGTGCAATATAGTAAATAGTTTTTCTTTTTATACCTAAACAGAGTTTGCAACAAAGCAAACGTCGGGGTTTATATAACAAATATATTTTATATGTATAAATGATGTTGTTCTAACGGCAGAAAATAATCCTATATGAATAGTGCAAATCCGGGTACGTTTCGGTTACTTAGACCCGACTCGTGGGATATATAAATGATCAACGTGTCCAGCTGAGTCGATTTTTCCATGTCCGTCTGTCTGTATTTATGTATGTAAACCAGTGCCACAAATTTTTAGATATCGATCTGAAATTTTGTGCAGGTCAATTTCTCTGCAAGAAGCTGCTCATTTACGGCACCGCTGATATCGGACCACAGTAGTATATAGGTGTCATACAAATTTAGTAAAATTAAGTTCTTGCATCAAAAATTTTATTTGACGAGATATCTACACGAAATTTGGCTTGGATTATTTTCAGAAGCAACGCTGTGATATCTGAAGAAATTTTCAATATCGGACCACTATAGCATATAGCTGCCATACAAGCTGCTCCATCAAAATCAAGTACTTGTATGAAAAACTTTTTATTTGAAGCGATATCTTCACAAAATTTGGCATGAAATTTTTGTCAAAGTCGTCGATATAATCTCCGAATATATTTTCCAGATCGGACCACTATATCGTATAGCTACCATACAAACTAGTCGATCAAAATCAAGTTCTGGATGAAATCTGTTGCATTTGTGAAGGGTATATAGTTACGTGCAACGGAATTCAACGTTTTTTCTTGTTTTTTTTTTGTTTATTATTTTTGTTTACTAAATTTTTCCCCTCCCTTCACACCAACTAACCTTTATGTCCTTCAGTGCCAGTATGTCGGTGGAGAATGTTGAATTCACCACAGACGGTTTATTTTTCACGCTGGGGAAAATAATGCCACCTTTGCGTGAGAGCGGCTTGGCCGATGTCGTTGTTGTAGTAGCAGCGGATGATGCAACACTTGCTGTGGAAGCGCCTGTGTTACCAGCCAAATTAGCAGCCATTTGCGCAGCGGTAACGGTATATGCGGTTACCGTAGGCTGACTGCCTACAGCCACCGATGGACTGGGTGTCGTCGTAGCAGCATTGGTGTATGCGTTAAGCGTGGCTGTTGTTGCGGCCGCTGTCGGCGGTGGCACGGTAGAGCTTGCGCTGGAGCCGATCGGTGTGGTGGGCATATTCGCCTCGGGATACTCATCGATTACGGAGTAGCTGCATGACAGTAAAGTAAAATTATTAAAATTAAGATTTATTATATCCGCCATTACTTACCGATTTGGATCATATTCGACGAGTCGATCAATAGTGGGATCCATCAGCAACTCAGCTGGTACTGGTCGTTGTGCCAATAGCTGAACATCATCTTCCTGTTTCTTCAAGCGCTTCTCCACCATATCCAAATTGTTGATTATCTGATTCGTTTTCGCCTTCAAATCGTGATGTATCTCACCGATAGCACGTTCCTGTCGCTGCGTTTGCGTTAACAAAGCATCCGATTTGGGTAGCAAATCATTGATAACGGAAGATTTTGTGCCCACCACCACGTCCCACACCTCGTCCATCTTCTCCGATACGGAGACCATTGGTCGTATTTGCTTAACGAGCGCATCGATTTTACTCGATTTTATAATCGGCATCGCTGTTGTTGTCGCATTCAATGAATTCAATTGCTCCTGATGATCCACGACGGCTTCGTGTATATCGCCAACCATGCGCAACATACGCCCCACATTCTCCGATACAATGTTTATATGGAATTGCAGTTTCTTATCGATGTTATCGGTCGTGTCGCGCAATTCATTTAATTCCGTCGATACATGATTCATTACTTCCGCATTCATCGCTTTCGTTATCTCGACAACATTCATGCTAATTGGCTTCTTCTCACTCGCCTCCGCATTAATATCGTCCACTTGTAGGAAATTATTATCGATTTGTGTTTTTAGCACCTCGAGCTTCGTGTCAATATCGCTCACTTTTTGGTCGAGCAGCACTAGACGGTTGTCCAAATGCTCTGCTGTGGCCATATTGGCAATGCGCGCTGAGCGCCCGCTCCCATTGCCGCTGTCATGTGTGGAGCCATGTATGTCGTTGGTGATTTTGTTGTCTAGTGTGCGTAGCTTGGAGATGACAGCGTCGGTTTTGATTAGATTGTCGGCTACACGATTGTCCAGCGCTTCCATGCGCTTCACCATGTGTTCGACGGATTTGTCGAGACTGTCGATGCGCTTCAATTTGCCTTCGAGCGTCGATATTATGACCTCAAAGATGTTGAGGAGTTGTTGTTCTCTGCAAGAAATTAAAGAGAGTTTGAGTTTATAAAATAACTGAGAATAAATTGGATATGATAGATAAATTTTATATAGTAGAAAGTAAAGTACTAGGAGATTTGAGGAATAATGAGAGGAGCGTGTTGCCATTTTCATGACAGTTGGGCCTATTTAACCGGAATAGACTCGGACTTTTTATCTGGTGAAGTACTGTCAAATCGGCAGATTGCTTCAAATTATGCAGAAATTTATTTTGCCGGTACAACAACAATAACTAGCGTATCTTATAAGGCTAGTCTATTCAGATGCAGGATCGCAATAGCGATATTAGTTGCAACTATACCCCTTGGCATCTATAACTTCAACGTTGGTACCGCCAAGCCTCCTAAGGTCCTGTTCAATATGTAAAAATTATTTCACGTGCCGCAAATGCTGGGTGCTAGGATTATAAGGAAAAATAATAGCTGCTTAAAAGTCGCCCATTTAGGCGTACTGAAATTCGATTATCTCATGAAGCTCCTCAATACTTTGTTACCCTTATCATATTGGACTTTTGGAAAAACGTTGAAGGAATCATTGAAAGGATGGGCAGAAACCCCTTACTTGGCCAACCATATCGCAATCCGTCAATCCGTTCTCAGACTCAACAACTGGGACTTGCCTTACATTAGAATGTATTTATTAAGCTGTAATAGCACCATTCCAGATCTTATGCTTCTATGGCCCTAATAACACTTGAACACCGTTAACTACTTCAACTGTCAAACTTTAGAAGTTGAGAGCCAAACTACCTGTTATTGAAGAAGGACATCTAGAAGAATTAAAGAAGGCTCATCTCAAGGATGCACTTTTTTATAAACGTTTTCATTTGCTATATTGCAAATATCCCTTTTTCGCCTCAGGGAGCAGTACTAGGGAAAGCATAAAGCAACCATGCTTCTTTTCAGAGGACGTATTGCAAAGTACACATTCCCTGTCGCTGTATAGTATGCAGGAACCCACGACAGCTAGTAGCAAAATTTGGATATCTATACTATGTCGCCCACTTCCATCTTCTTAAGGAGTCCGGTGTCTTCTTAAGCAGCCAGATTATCGTAGCTGAAGTATCATATATATATTAAGAAACTTTAGCTTAGTGGTGAAGTTAGTGAAGCATATCAGAAGGAATTAGAGGTTTAACGCCATGAGTCAGTAGCTATAAGATCATCGTAGGTTGATGAAAATTATGTTTAAAACGTATGTTTAATTACCCTCTCTTAGTTGCTGTCTTCAATTTTGGTTGGTCATTTTAATGTTATAAACCTTATTTTACTTTTACACTTCAACGCTGTTAGTCTCGCCAGTAAGTGCGTAAGGCACTAATAACTGTAATAATTGGTCTTAATATATTGCGATTGCGTGATTGAGGACAGCAAAAATCAATAAAGTATAGATTGCTTTTTGCTGCCCTAGTTTGTGACGCTTATTTTTTATGGCTCTTAATTATTGGTTCTTTGTAGCCAATT